GTGGGGGCACATGGGGCCCGGCGCCGGGCGGGGGCAGGGCGGGAGGCCCCGGCCGTAGCGCGGGGGAGAGGAAGAAGCGGCGGTATCGTTAATTCAGGTACGTGTCCTCCTCGGAGGGCGGCGGGGCGTGGCGGCGGGTACGCGGACGCACCCGAGGGACGTGCTTTTTTTTGTGGAGAAAGCTGCTTTTCCTCATCTCCAGCTCGTAGCCCGCGCTGCCCCGGGAGGTCTGAGGGGGCTGAGGCCTTTCCCTCAGCCGGCTGGGCCGCGTGGGGGTACGGGGTGTGTGGGGTACGGGTCTCTTCTGGCTCGTGTGTGGGTGTTGGCCCCCCCATTGCCTGCGCCCGCTCCCCACAGGAGGATGCCGCGCTTCCTTTTTATTTCCCGCAACCCGGTGGTGCTCCCCTTGGGAGCTGGAACTTTTCTTCGTTGCAAAAGTCTCGTTGGCTCCTGTTTGCGGAGGTCCCGGTGCAGGTGGAAGCAGGCGTGGGTGTGTGGAGTTGGGGGGAGAGCAGGGAGGTGCAGGTGGCCGCCCTGCAGCTGGGCACCTCGCCTCTGCAGCCCCAGCCAGGGGCTGAACTGTCCGGGTGGGTTTTAGGTCAAGGTGATTGTTACGTGCTTCGGGCTGTACCATATTGACTTAAGAACATCTGCGTTTCGGAGTGGGAGAAGGCTACAAGGATCTGATTACTTCCCTGCTCTGCAAAATCTCACCATTTTTTATTGCAAGGATCACTTGATTCACAGGTAATAGTTATGGAAAATACGGAGGCCTTCATTTCTTGTCCGTCCACAGAGGGTGTGTTATTTGAATCGGGTGAATTTTAAGTCTAAGAATGAGAAGCAGTGCCTCTGTTTCAGTAGTCTGTACCTCACAGTGACCAGATAACTGAGGTGAAAGCCTGAAGTTCTCTATATTTCAGAATACGTGGTGAAGGATTGCTGAATTTAGTCACCTCCCTGTTTTATTGTCCATTGCTGCTAAATGATTAATTTATTTTTTTTTTCTACTTACAGTGATGCTTCTGTTTTATTCCTGCTCCTCTTTGATTTAAAGCCTGCATGTTCCTTTCATTTTACTGCTAGCTGTGTTTGAAAGCTCAGAGATGGAATGAGCTTGGAATGTGCTTCTCACCACCCTGTACTCTGTGCAGGAAGTTTGATTAAAGGATTTTGGCTTTTCAGATTCTAGAAAGGCTTTGACTTCTCAGATGGTAGTTAAATAGACAAACTAACTTCAGAAAAGTATTCCCAGTTCTGTTGCTTTCAGAAATGTTGAAAATTCAAGCATAAAAATTCCTTGTGCAATTTGCAGGGTAGTTAATTGCACGTGTTTATTATGACTACAGTATATAGTTTCTCACCACACATCAGTGTGGTTTGCAAACAAGTCTCAGCACCAGAGTGCAGTTACTGCCACTAGGCTTACAACACGTAACTTTCGAGACCAATGGATAAAAAGTATGGAAAGGGAAAATTCCTTTGCTACGAGGCAGTCTCTTAGTGAGGCTTGAAGTATTGCAGGTTCATAGCGGCTCAAGGAATAGTCAAATGAAGCCTGTCCTGACGTGTACCATTATAGAAAGCCTGTGGTTTAGGACCTGAATTATTTCTGGCACTATGCAAATGGCTTTTGAGACAAGCCCGCACTCAGGACCTTGCTGTCAAAGGCAGTTGCTGATCCTACAGGCACTTGCACGTGCTTTCCTTTATTACCAGGTTGTTCTGTTGAAATGAGTATAAGTTTTTATAGGCTCTGTGTGGCAGGTAGATAATACAGTCAGTGTTTTAATAAACGGTATATGATCATTATGTTTGTGTAATCGTGTATTATGTAATCCTCAGTTTATATTTGTATGATTTTTAGGGGATCAGAGCACTGTTCTCTTTGTAAACCTGGGAATTATGTAAAAGTACTCTTATGCAGTAGGTATTGCAGAGGGAGACACTACTGAGTGAATCAATCTAAGAAGCTGGTAGCTGTTGATTTATTGTGTTTTGGTTTTTAGTAATGACTAGAGTTTTTACATAGTTGAGAGTAGCCTTGTAGTTCCTGACCCATTCGTGTCATGGGACTTCTGTTGGTCTGTTCTACACTTCCTTGCAATTTGGAACCAATTCCATATTTCATTTTTAAGGCTTATGCTGTTATGTTCTGTATCTGTTTGCCTACTCTCCATTACTCTTGAACCAATTGTCCACTTTCAGTTTAAATCAGTAGAGGGAAGCAGAGGTTTTAAACATATTTAGGTTGTCCATTTTCATTAAAGCAGTTAAAGAGGAGAAATTCTATTTAATGTCTCTGACAAAGTATGTATTAATATGAGGTCAGCACTTTGTGTTTTGCTTTCAGCAGCTGATCGGTGTGTGTGTGCTGACCTGTGAGTTGGAGCCCTAGCGTAGCAGTGTTGTGTCCTGTCCAGCTACCAGTTTGAGATCACAGGAAAGAGTGAGCAGTTTGGATGAGTGTGGGGTGCAGGAACAGGAGGGAGCTGGAGATGGTGGTTGTGAGGTGAC